CGAAGATGTCAGAATTTTCTACCGACGAAGTACGTATTTTTAATATGTAATTTATGTGTATATTTATTTGATATATTTATCAAATTTTTAACATTAAATTTTTAGGTTTTTAGATCTCTTGGAGATTTGAAGAACTAAGTATAAAATATTGCACATTCTAAGGTTATGTTAAAGTCACTAAACGATCGAAGACAACAACTTTTGGATTCAAATCTAAAGTATTTCTTTGTTGTGATTGTACTGGTATATCTGAAATAAAAATGCGGAAATAAAAAAAATTAATTGTCCATTCGAATTGATAGCAAAGTATTTGAAGGCACAAGATGGTTGGAAGTTAAAGGTCGTACGTGATAATCACAATCACAAACCATCAATGTATATGGATGGTCATTCATTTGTAATGCGATTGTCGGATAAAGAGACTCGTTTGGTCCATGATTGGACAGAGTTGAATGTTAAACCACCAGATATTTTGTCAACAATAAAACAACAAAATGAAAATAACGTGTCTTCACTGAAAACTATATACAATTGCCGCCATAAGTTTACGATATCTCAACGAGAAGGTAAAAATTCGATACAAAATGTCATGCACAATTTTGCATACTAAAGAGTATAATTATGAGTATCGTTTAAACGAGAGCACTAACGAATTAGAGGAGTTATTTTTTATGCACCTAATATCATTACAGATATATCAAACATTTCCATATGTGGTGTTGATGGATGCTACATACAAAACATACAAGTGTAATCTTCCTTTTCTGGAGATTGTTGGTGTGACTTCTACGAGACTAACGTTTTCCATAGCCTTCGCATTCATGCATAGTGAAAAAACAAGCAACTACATGTGGGCATTGACTTGTTTGAAATTGACGATTAACGATTCTTTTTGTCCTCGTGTCATTGTCACCAATAGAGATTTGGCGTTGATAAAGGCGTGCAAAGATGTTTTTCCACAAAGTAATCATTTACTTTGTAGGTGACATATATTCAACGATATAACAAAGCATTGTGAGAAACGTATCAAATCAGATAAGACTTGGGGTTCTCTTCATCGAATGTGGAAGAAATTAGTTGAATCTCCGACACCAAGTGCATACATGCAAGCTTATGCAGACCTTCAATCATTATTGTCCAAAAATTCAGGTATCATTAATATATATCTAAAACTCTTAAATTCTTTAATAATTATTATTCTACTCATTTGATTTTTCTTCACATTTTAGTTGTTTTTGGGTATCTTTACAATATTTGGTTGGAGAAGTATCCCGACAAGTTTGTATCATTGTGGGCCGACAAAAGTACCAATTTTGGAAATTCAATAACAAATAGAGTTTAGAGCCAACACGCTACGCTAAAAAACACCTAGCATCTCGAAAATGTGATTCGGATAAATTCATATATGTTATTGAAATGATTTTTCTTCACATTTTAGTGGTTTTTGGGTATCTTTACAATACTTGGTTGGAGAAGTATCCCGACAAGTTTTGTAACGACCCGTCTATGGTATGTTGTTTTTATATTATTTATTTAGAAGTTTGCAGAGGGACTCGGCGAGTCTATTGCCTGACTCGTCGAGTAGAGACGGAATCTTGAGCAGCGTTTAGATCGGCGACTCGGCGAGCCCATATTTGGGACTCGGCGAGTCCGCCTGCCAGGTAGAAACCCTGAATCCCCGGGTTTGCACCCTATTTAAACCATCTTATGAGCCCCAAACTCGTCTCCTTCACCCTCAGAGCATCATTTAGCAAACCCTAACCATTCCCTTGAGTATTTGAGCATTTCTTGTGTGAATCTTGAAGTTTTGAAGAGAAGAAGGAGGCTAGATCCAAAGGAGAAGAAGAAGATCCAAGGTCTTGCACCCATTTCAGAGTTTATTGAGGTAATAATCGGATTCCTTATGTTTCTATGATTGATTCTCCTTTATAAGCATATTTAGCCCATTTTATCCATTCCTTAGCTTGTTCATAGTAGAGAGATCACATTAGATTGATTAGCCTTCGGATCTAGCCATGTTTCAGTTCCAAAAACGTAGATCTATCACCTTTATGGAGCCATTTTGCATGATAGCCCTAGATCTACTCTTCTAAGTGCCTTTTTAGCCTTTATATCCTTTTTCATGCATATGTACACGTAAAGTTGGAAACTTTACGTGGTAAACCAGCCTTAGAAACTCATATCTATAAATTGTATGCAGTGGTTTTGAGCAGAATCGAGTTTTTAGTAACTGCATGCATGTGACTCGGCGAGTCGTTCTTCGGACTCGGCGAGTCGAGTCGCGAGTCCCCGATCTTTCCCCTTTGAGTGATTCCGAGTGGGGACCAGTGAGTAGTAGAATGGACTCAGTGAGTCGGAGGTTAGACTCAGTAATGGAGGGACTCGACAAGTTGTTCATACAACTCGGCGAGTCTAAGACAATCTTCTTAGATTCAAGAACAACTCGTCGAGTTGTTCATACAACTCGGTGAGTCGGATGCAGATAGCCTGAGTTTTAGAATCGAATGGGAACTCGTCAAGTTTATGCCATACTCGACGAGTAGCAGCTAGCAGGGTTGAGAAATGAGAGTAGGGACTCGGCGAGTTGGCGGCCCAACTCGGCGAGTCAGGTCAACTGTAAGTTGACTTTGACCAGGAGAGTTGACTTTAGCCAGGGGTAAAAGAGTCATTTTACCCCAATGCAGTTATTAGTATTTGATTGAGTGTATTTGTGGAATTGTAGCCGGGGAGATACCGGAGCAGCAACAGATAGCTTCCAGAGCCATACACTCAGCAGCCAGATCACGAGGTGAGTTTCCTTCCAGTAGGAACGGGTCTAAGGCCACAATGTCGGCCCGTTTAGCTAGTAGTAGTTTTCGGACTTCGGTCCGATGCAAATTTTAGTATGTTTGATGCCTTCGTGGCTCAGACAAGATTTTATGTGTTATGTGTTCCGGTTTACAGCCGGATGCAGTATGCAGTTTACGTGTTTCTGCTAATTGATATGTTTATGCTATGCTATGTTCAGCAATTCCAGCCTTCGGTCCGATGCAGTTAGTTCCGGACTTCGGTCTGATGCAGGAGGCAAGGCCTCAGTAGTTCCGGACTTCGGTCCGATGCAGAGGCCAAGGCCCTGGTTAGTTCCGGACTTCGGTCCGATGTAGTTTCCGGACTTCGGTCCGATGCAGTGGGTAAGCCCCAATATGTGTTTATATGTATTGTATGGTATATGGTAGTTTGGGGGAGCTCACTAAGCTTCGTGCTTACAGTTTCAGTTTTGGTTTCTGGTACTTCCGCAAGCAAAGGGAAGAGCTCGGGTTGATGGCATCGCATACACCACAGCTTCAGTTGTCTTGGGAGATGTGTTTAGTTTTTCATAAATGTGATTTGATACAGTTTTGATATAGTTTCTTCATAACACTTTGCTACTGTTTTGAGATATTGACGTACGAGTTTTATTTTATGATATTATCATAGTGTTTTTTAGTAATTGTTAAACAAAAATTTTTGGGTCGTATTTTGGGATGTTTCAAGTTTGTATCATTGTGGGCCAACAAAAGTACCAATTTTGGAAATTCAACAACGAATAGAGTTGAGAGCCAACATGCTAAGCTAAAAAACACCTAGCATCTCGAAAATGTGATTCGGATAAATTAATATATGTTATTGAAACAGCTGTACAGTCACAAGACACATCCATCAAAGAGAGTTTCACAAGGAGCATAATCATTCGTAAACCAAAGTTTAAGGATGAGATATTCAATTCACTACAACATCATGTTTCAAAGCATGCTTTGGATAAAATCTTAAAAGAACTTAATCGGTTAAAAGGATTTGTACCAACTCCTAAGAATTGTGGCTGTCAACTACTGACATGTTTTGGTTTACCATGAGCTCATGAACTTGCGATGTATGTCGATGCATGTATGTCAAATGTAAAAAAGGGTAATTATTAAATAATAATGTTTTATTGATTAGGTAATAATGAACTAATAATAAAAGTTAGTCAAATAATCATTATATTTTAATGATGATTTAAAAAGTAAAGTCTTATGATAATAATTTACCATCATTCACCTAAAAAGTAAACCTAATGATAGGATTGATGTTGTAGATTGGTGTGTCTAAAGTAATACCCTTTAATCAATTTTAATGGCAAAGGAGTTGTTAGAAAAGTAATCTAGATTAAGTGCGTAACCATGAAGTCTATTAGGCCATCTATAATGAGAGTTTAATGGGGAGTTTAATCTTATTAAACTCAAAATCTTATTATAGGAAAATGATTAGGATTCAATAGAATAAAAAGTTCAATCCCCATTGAACACACACACACACACTCTCTCTCTCTCTCTCTCTCACACACACACACACACACACACACACATATATATATATATATATATATATATATATATATATATATATATATTATTTTTTATTTCAAAATTACAATTTGTAATTTTTAGTTAATGTTAAACTTAATTGTAGTTTTTAATATTTAATTTATAATGAAGTATAAAGTTTAATAGGTAAAGTTGTATAGTGAATGAAATGGATATGTAACAATCCATTGAACTCATAAATTCAAAGTATTAGAGATAAATTCAAAGCATTGGAGATGGCCTTAAGTAAAATAATAATAATAATAATAAACATATAATCGATGAAGCATATTTACTGAAAGATGATTTTGTTTAGTTGTGCTTGATCTTCCACCTTTGTAGAAACCTAAATCAGAAATGTAACAGTTTTCCACCAAAATGTATAGGGTGTGTTTAGTTGTAGAAAATTTTCCAGTTTTTAGGAAAAATTTTCAAGAAAAACGGAAATTTTGAAAACGCGTTTGGTTCATTCATTTTTTCCAAAATTTTCCAAGAAAATGAAAATTTTTAGTTTTCCAGATTATATGTAAATTTGAAAAAGTAATTTTTACAGTTTTCCAAAGTTTTCCAAATTTCTAAGATGGAAAATAAAAACTCCACCAGTTTCAACCAAACGTGTTTTCTAAAATTTTCATTGAAAATTGAAAATAAAAACTCAACTCTGTTTTCTGAAAACATTTTCTTGGAAAATGAAAACAATTTTCCACAACCAAACACACACATAGATTCCTTCATTTTTCAAGTATTTATCATCACCAACTTCATTCACATACTGTTTTATCATATTAAAAAATCAAGGTCTTAAAGTTGCAAAACGTAAAAACATCTTCTTATGTACATATCAAACATCCAGGAATCAAATAACTACCATGACAGATCTGCTGCTAATATCGTCTCCACTTTTCCACCTCTTTGTGAGTTGCTTTGATCAGCTTCTTGGTGTTCACCACAACCTCCTCGATCAGATAACCAATTTCATCCCTTGTATCAACAAGCCAGTTTCAAAAGAAGATCAGATACATTGTAATTAATGTGCAATAAAGGCATACAAGCTTTTCAAGATTATTCTCAATGATGAAGACCCAAGGGCATTTAGGTCTTTTGCACAAACCAGTAAACACCAAATGCAGTACAAGTGGAACTTACTGAGTAGGCATACTGCCTGGTCCATTGAACAACCTCCCTACATTTGAGTGTTTCCTATTCTCATCATACGCAATGCCTCTCCCTGCGCCATAACCAAATCCAAGACCAACTCCACATCCAACACCAAATCCAAAACCAAGCTGTAAACCGGGGATTCCAGGACCCAAACCAGCACCTGAAGGAACATGAATCTCACATGATTCCCGAACAAAATACAAATAAAGATTGAATGAATGACACACTAAGTTAAAATTATGGAAGATTCTGTATTGGAATTTGAAGGAGCAGTGTGTTTAACATCCGATAAGCACCCAATTTTTCGAAAAGCGATAATTTAATTAGGGTTATGAAAACGAATTTCGTTCATACCCTAAATCATTGGGGACAGTCGCTACCAAACTCAAGGAATTTCATTTTCGATAGGGTTAAGATGCTTTGTTGAGTTGGATTCGTAGCTTATAGACTTTTTGAGAATCAATTTGATTTCTAGGTAGAACAAATTAAATGGTAAGTAATTCGATGGACCAAAATTCAAAACGAGAAAAAGGATTACCTCCGATCAGTCCAACACCGAAACCAACACCACAACCGGCGCCAAGACCAAACGCAGGGCCCAACTTACCAAGTTTATTAGAATAGGCCACCGGCAGCTTCCATAGTAAGCCTTTGTCGTCGTCGTCGTTCCTGTTGGGCATTTTCTGTGCGTGAAATTTCGGGGTTTATGATCCGATTACCGAATGGCAAATACTCAGGGGTGTTTGGGAGTTTTTAACCTCAAAAATGTTTTTTTTGGAAAAGTTGATTGGCTTTCTTAAAAGATTGATAGAGCCGTAAACAATAAGTTATATAGCAATTTTTTTTTATAAGTGTTATAATATAATCATCTGAAATATAAATTATTGTGTATGGTTAAAAAAAAATTATGACAAAATTGCAAGTTTGGTTCCTGTGGTATGTCAAAAATTGGATGTTTGGTCCAAAAAGTTTTGGGGTTGTACTGGTGGTCCAAAAGCTTTGATTTGTTGTGGAATTGGTCCAAAGGCTTAACAGCCGTCTACCCCCTCCATCTGTGTGAGGGTATTTTTGTCAATTCACGCTCATTCCTTTGATATCTTATTAAATTAAACCTCATCATCCTAATTAATTGATACCTGCCGCCAAATCCTCTGTGCATTTCGTCAATCGACTCTCCTGTCACTTTCATCTTCATTCGTTACCCAGAAGCCCTAACCTCCAAGTTGAGTTTTTTTATTGTGATCGGTGTTATTTCAGTGTATGAACATACCAATGTGGAATATAAGGCTCTTAGACAAACCGTTCAACGCAAAGGTGGCTTATGGTAAGGATTTTGTAATTTCTCTGTACATTACATGTTTTGTATGTGAAATCATGCTTCTGAACTTATTTTTGTTGTTGGTTTGAAGATGGCCACCCAACATTATTTACCATCAAGCTATACCATGGAGGTGAGTTCACCAAGTTTCCTGATGTTCAATACATTGACGGAAGTGTGAACTATGTTGACATGGTGGATATAGACACGTTTTCAGTTCATGAGTTGGATGCTATCATGAAAGGGTTCAGGTATGGTGTTCCTCCTGTGATTTACTATCACTTCCTTGTGCCTGGTGGAGACTTCCACTTTGGTCTTAAACCCTTAGGCAATGATGATGATTTACGAACTTTTGCCCAATATGTGTGTGATCACAAAATCATGAGGGTATATACTGAACATGGTGAGACAAAGTTACTTACCTACTTTATGAATCCTAAACCTGTTAAGAAGGTAACTATTGTACAAATGGATGAAATAGATGAAAATGATGACAATGAAAACCACACAGCTGAGGTACAAGAATTTCCAAGCCCACCTAGATCATCCCCTGTTGAGGTTGAGGTACAACCATTACATGTCGAGGTTCATGATAGACAAAAAGAGCTTATTGCCAATGACTTTATGGAGGCAGCTACAGAATTTGATATTGGTTTGTATCAAAAGATGTTACAATCAAATGCAGATGTTCATGAACATGTACAAGTAGAAGTGGAAGAACATGTTCAAGATGAAGTAGAAGAACATGCACAAGTAGAAGTAGAAAAAAATGTACAAGATGAAGTGGAACTGGATCATGGACATGAGGCTGCCATGGAAGACAACTTGGATAATTACATGGATAATTACATAGACAACAACATGGATGATTACATGGAGACTGAAATGGAGCATGACAATGGGAGCAAATCTGATGGAGAAGATGGGAGCATATCTGATAGGGGAGAGGGTAGTCACTGTGATGAGGAAAATGACAGTGAGGATAATGAGGATAGTGATTGGGTGGATGAGGAGAATATCATTCCTGAAGTTGAAGTGGATATGAGGGATTTCCACATGAGCATTGACACTGAAGCAGAGTTTTTTGAGAAAAGACTAAGGAATAGCATGGAGAAAGATAGAAATCAGGAGCATGAAGATATGGAGTTGGATGTTATTGACAATGATGAATGGGATTCAATAGATGATGATTCTGAGATGGGCAAGAAGAGAAGACAAGTTATTAAAGAATTAGGTAAGGAAAAAAGGTGTTCTTTAGGAGAAGTTCATAAACCAACATTTCGTATAGGACAAAAATATAAAAGTAAAAAAGAGTTGAAAGACAAAATTGCCCATCATGCCTTGGAAACCAGGAAGAATCTTTTTATTAAGAAAAATGATAAACTTAGGTTGCGGGCCACATGCAAAGGAAAAGTAGTATTCAATGAGGGGCAAGTGGATGGACCTACCACTGGGAAGAAAAGTAAAGGCAAAAGTAAAAAAGACAAAGACAAGTACTGAACTGTCTTGTCAGTGGGTTTTACAAGCATCTAGGAAAAGTGAGGAAGAAAGTTGGTGTGTGAAAACCTACCAACCTGAGCATTCATGTCTCAATACAAGAAAGGTAAGAACGGCCACAGCAAACTTCATCTCTAAACAGATTATGGATCTAGTGGAATCTAACCCAACTGTGCCAATCAAAGCTGTACAAGAACTACTTCAGAAAAGATATCAGGTGAGCTTCTCCAAAGACAAGGTATTTAGGGCTATAGCAGATGCCAAAAAACTGATGGGTTTTGGTCATAAGACATCCTATGTACTCATACAAACCCTAATGCTTGGATCTAGGTTTCTCTATTGTACATGCTTTGAATCCAAGACTATAAACCCTAATTCTAGCATACATATAATCATATTAACATGAGAATAAGTTTATAGTGTTACCTTGATTGTTATGTAGCAATAACAATCACAATTCCTCCTTGAATTGACTTTGGAATGCTTAGAGTCACAAGTGTCACTCCTCTAATGGTTCACAAACACCATAAGCAAGAGGATGAAGAGGAGAGAGGATGGAGGCTGCCAAAAACGTGTGTAAACCCTTACAAGAACATTAGCCACGTTTTTTAGCCTTAAGGGGTCTTTATATAGTTGGGCTATTAGGGTTATCTAACAAGGAAACCCTAATATGGATGCTTAAGCCCTAAGCAACCCATATACTCCTTTAATTAAGCCCATGGACGAATTCCTTATGGGTTTCCCATTAGAATTCGTCCATCCTTTAATATAAGGCAATCCATGGCCCAAATTGCAATTATCCTATAATTACAATTCCAGTCCCTTAAGTTTAATTAATCTCTTTTAGTCACAAAACTAATTACCAATTAATTATTGACTAATATTAATTAAACAATATGATTTCTCCTTTAATATATTATTCCCATAATATATTAATAAATCATATTTAATCCTTACTCTCCATAAATCATCCTATCAAGTTGCTTTGGTGAAGGCAACCCAAAAGGATCATGCACCATCGGGTCAAGTACATACCAAAATAGTTATGGACTTAGACACTAATCCAACAAAAACATGTGATGGGAGACTACACAAAACAATATGATGTGCTGAGAGATTACATATTAGAGTTGCAGTCCACAAATCCTGACACAACTATGAAACTGGAACTAGTTCCAGAACCAAATCTTGTAAATGCAACTTCAAGATGTTTTCAGAGAATTTATATTTGCTTGGGTGGAATGAAAAAGGGGTTCAAAGAATGCTTAAGGGATTTTATTGGTTTAGATGGGGCCTTCATGAAAGGAGCTTACCCAGGGCAGATCTTGACTGCAGTTGGCTTAGATTCTAACAATGGTATATACCCATTGGCATACACCATTGTTGAGTCTGAGAGCACACAAAGTTGGAAATGGTTTCTAGAGTACCTGGGAGATGATTTGGACCTGTCACAACTTTCAAACTTCACTTTCATAAGTCATAGAGAAAAGGTAATAGATTTCCTTGATGTATTTTAGTTTTCTTATTACACTTGTATTATACTAACCACAGTTTAATGACTTTGTAGGGCTTAATTCCAGCCATTGCACAGTTGTTCCCGATTGCTGAACACAGATTCTGTCTTAGACATATCTATGAAAACATGAGGAAGAGATGGAGAACTACTGAGTACAAAGAAAAGTTATGGAACTGTGCCAAAGCCACAACAGTGCAAGAATTCAATCGTTTGATGAAAGAGTTTAGTGAATATGACATAGAAGCTTATGAATGGTTGAAGAAGATCCCACCACAACATTGGGCTAGAAGCCATTTCACAGGTAGACAACTCTCAATTCAGTGCTAAGTTACACAAATTTGTTGTATGCTGTTCTAAATAACAATTATCTTGCAGGTAGACCAATCACAGACATGCTTTTAAATAACCTATGTGAAGTGTTTAACAATAAACTGATAGAAGGTAGGGATAAACCAATAATCACATGCTTAGAGTACATTCGGGAGTACATGATGAAGAGGATTTGCAATGTGATAAAGGTTCAACAGAAGTGTGCAGGTCCATTGACTCCAACAGCAACAAAGATCATGGAAACAAACACAACAAATGCTTCTAACTACATAGCCAGGTGGAATTCCTCAGACAAGTATGAAGTACAAGGACCATGGCAAGATCAACATGTTGTTGACATGGGCCAAAGGGTATGCAGCTGTAGGAAATGGGAATTAACAGGAATTCCTTGTAGGCATGTGATTGCAGTCTTATTTGATAAAGCTAACAATGGTGAGGATGTGGGTGAACTTTACACTTATGTACACAAGGTGCATTGGCTTGAAACCTGGAAAGAGGCTTATTCCTACAAGGTAGAACCAATCAAAGGTCGTATCATGTGGCCTGTTAGTGATTGTCCAATAAAGATCAGCCCTCCTCCACATCGTAATCAGCCTGGTAGGCCAAAGAAGAAGAGGCAAAGATCCATGGAGGAAAAATCTCAAAGTCAGAGCCAAACTCAAAGTCAAAGTCAAACAATTGGTGCTAGTGGTATAGATGGTCATGGTCCAGGGGCAGTGGAAAACTCACAAGGAAGTTCATTACTGTCACTTGTAGCAAGTGTAAAAACAAGGGACATAATGCAAGAACATGTAAGGGGCAATGAGGAAATTGATGTGTTGTCTTGTTGGATTAAGATGATGTAATGTGTTACTTTTGGGAACCATTGTGTTGTTCTTTTGGGTGTCTGTTTAATGGTTTTGATGTTTTTTGGACAACTTTACCCTCCGTTTAGAATGATGTTTTTTTTGGTCATGTAACAAGAATTTGGTATGTGCAAACAATGGTTATTAACTTTGGATGTTCTTTTGTTTATGCATCATTGTCCTTTACTTTTTAGCATCTTTATGTTACTATTAGGTTATGTTAAGCATTAACAGTTTGTCCCATCACTGCTATGTCTAGTAGAACCAAAATATTTGGATGTTTGAAACAAATAACTT